CTGACTGTCTCTCTTTGTTCCAGTCTGTCCCCGGCGGCCCTCGGCTGACTCCAGACGCGCCTCCTCGTCTCGTCTCGCCCGAGGAAGGAGGCTGGCTGCTTGCGCCGCTTTCCTCTCTCGCCTTCGTGCTTGCGGACTCGACTGGCTTCGGCTCGGTTGCTCACCTCTTCTCACCTCCATCGGCAGAGGTCTTGTGATTTCCTGAAGGAAGGAATCGCAGCCGGAAGTCACAAAGGCAGAAATCTATTCGGGTGGCGTGGGGAGAGCAAGCGGGAGTCCCCAGTGCCACTCCCTCCGAGAGGACGGATCCTGACGGCGCTCCGCAGGCAGGCGCTCGCTCGCATCCCCGGCCTGAGGCGTCGCAGGAAGGCCAGTTGCTGGAGCCATGGAGGGCGGCCTGCGAGGCTGGGTCGAGAGGAACAGCGTCCCCGTGAGGAGAGAGAGCGGGTTCACGGTCCGCGAGCTGAGGACGAGGACCGTGCTGGACGACCCGACGAACAAGGTGCGGGTCCTGGGCGTGGGCCCCGAGAACGGCGGCGAGGTGAAGAAGGTGCTCCTGCTGGGAGAGACCGGCAACGGCAAGAGCCACCTGTGCAACGCCCTGGTCAACAGGGTGTTCGGCGTCGGGCTGCGCGACGACGTGCGCCTTCAGCTGCGCGACCAGATGGACGAGGCCGGCAAGAGCTCGACGCAGAGCCAGACGGAGTACACGACGGCGTACGTGATCTACCGGCAGGAGGGCATGCCGCGCGGCCACAACTTGATGGTGATCGACACGGCGGGCGTGGGCGACACGGGCGGGCGCCTGCGGGAGGAGAGCAACGAGCGGCAGTTCCGGCGGTGCTTGGCCGAGCACGCCTGGGTCCGGGAGCTGAGCAGCGTCGGGCTGGTGTGGAAGGCCAGCGACCACAGGTACGACCAGAGGAAGAGGGACGTCCTGGGCAGGCTGAAGGGCCTCTTGGGCTACGACGCGAAGCCAATAACTGACGTTCTGGTGACGTTCTCCACCAACGGGTCTCGAGACGCCTTCGACATCATGAGAGAAGCAGGCGTTGGCTTCCACGGGGAGTTCCTCTTCGACAACGGACCTCTGTACAAGGGTTGGCCCCAGGATGCGATGCGGAGGAGGAAGCTGGAGATGGAGTGGGAGATGATGGAGGAGAGCCTGGATGGGTTCCTGGAGGCTGTGAGTGAGAGGAGGGCTGTTGAGCTGACGGCAACAGTGGGGCTGATTCGGTCGCAGTTCGAACTGGAGGACACCAACGCGGAGCTGCAGGCCCTGTGGGAGCAGGAGGACGAGCTGCGGCAGACCATTCGAGAGCACGAAAGGAAGCTGTGCAGACTCGACGGCAAAGAGAACGAGGTGGACTGGGACGAAGTGCGGGCGCTGGACAGCAGCAGGGAAGAGCTCGTGTTGGAGAACGGACAGCACTGCCACTACTGCCCCGAGTGCGACGAGGTGTGTGTCCCTTCGTGCTCGACGGACTCTACTCATGAACGAACAGGGGGAGTCGGGGAAGCAACAAACGCAGGAACAACGAGAGTTGTATGCTCGTTTTTCAAAGATGGTTCTCTTACCTGCCCAGAATGTGACCATCATCAAATCGATCACGAATTCAGAAGTAAAATCCTCGTCAAAGATGCCACATTCGAACAGAAACTGGAATTAGTAAGAAAATCTCAGCATGAAAGAGACATAGATCAGGAAAACGCCATTCGAGCTGACATCGAAGCCTTTGAAGCCCAACTGAAAGAAATCGAGGAGCAAAGCAAGGTCCTGATAGCCACGTGGAGCAGACTCGAGCAAAGGACCAGGCATTTGAAATCTGGAAACTGAAAGTGCTCAGAAGGACCATTTTCAGCTTGATACTGCTGCGATACTCTACCCTATGGACAGATAAGTACAGTGCAAAATTTCAGAATTATTGCAGCTGTAAATGGCATTCATTTGTTTATCAAATTATATCCAAATCGAATTAGTTGTTGGGTCGGCATATTTCAGATGTGGACGGTTTTGCAAGATATTCTTAACTTTCTACACCAACGGCATTTCTGAAATGATTCCAGTTATCTGTGATGCTTTCCTTTTTCCTTGCATCATAAGTTACTGTTGAGTTGTTCCCTTGAGGTTACACGAATGGTAGTAATTGTGAGTGTATAAATATATATATATTACGTATATCTATATCTATCTATCTATATATATACATTGTTATGATAAGAGTAAATTTGTCATTCCATATTATAAATACCAATGATATATGTAAAGATGATAATGTTATTATATACAGTATTTTATATATACTTATAGAAGTGGAAGATTTATTTTATACAAAGATATATTTTAGTTGAAGTTTCATACACATTATCGTATATGAACGATCCCTGTGATCTGAGCGCCCCTGGTGGCAGAGTGTAAAACGACTGGAGGAGAAACAACGGCAATAAACCCAGCACGGAGCCACGAATTTTATTTTATCCTCACATGCTCTGCCTGCTT